GAATACGGTAAACTGAATCCTTCAACGTGTACGGCTATCAATAACGAAACATTTGAAGCCATGAAGTTCAATCTAATATTGATAATGATGGATCATCAACATAAAGTATCTTCAAGGAAACTACCGCTTTTGAAACTGGCTTTTTTAAATCCTTTTAAAAAATCCCGAACAATTCTTTCATTTGCTTATAGATATTTTAAGTGATCAATGACCTAACGAAACCATTACCCTACCCCGGGATTTTTGACTCATCAACATTTTGAAACTCGTAATCCTCTTCTCCTAAAGCCGACTCTTTTTATCTGATTTATTCTTGACAAGACTCTCAAATACTTGATTTGGAAAACAGCAATAAAAAGAACACATATCATTTCTATAAACAATCTAAAAACAAATTCTACAATGAAAAGCCTCAGACGGAAGTAAGAGCATATCTAGATCATTTGAAACTCGCAATTTCGAATTACGCTTGAAATCTTTCAAACAAAATGTTTCCAGCACTCTCGGGCACTTGATCATTTGGATGTGGAAAAAAATTGGAAAAAGAAATGGGAAAAAAGAGACGCTGAAATTGGCCTCCATTCATTAAAACCCCTTCTCACACACATAAAAATAGAGGCCAAAAAGGGTTGGAAATGAAAAGAAATGCAAAAAGTGAACAGAAAATGAGGAGCTCAAATAATTGGAAGCAGATAGATTTTGGAAGAGAAAAGCCTTGGGTTTGTTGAAAATGAAAAGCTCTGTCTCAAATGCATGTTTCAAAATGCTCAAACCATCGCTGATTTTGAGAAACCAAGTGCTCAAACAAAGCTGTCAAACTCGAAATTAAGGTGCAATTCTTGAAACTTTTGTTGGGTGAATGAGAATCCAAATCTGGTACCAGCTTTGACTTTTGTGAAAAACTGATGTCAGATTTGGATTATTCATCCCGAAAACCCTAGGTTGCAAATTTTTAGCCATCTTGATTCGTGCCAGACAATGTTACTATCTTGGTTCTCTGTTACTGACAATGTTACTTTCTCCTACTTAGGCTCTGGAAAATCGCTTTCAGACCAGCTCTAGTTGGTCTGAAAACGATTTTCCAGATTTGGCCAAACAAGCTAGGCCAGAAGTCTTAGACAAAAATAATGTGTGGTTGTCAGCGCTCACATCAATTCACTATTGCCCTTTTCTCATTTTCTGCATGTTATCCTTATTGAAAATCGATGTTTCAAGATAGTTTGCAAGCAGAATTTGTCGGAAAGCTTTATTTATGCCAAAATCCATTACTTTCATCAAGTTTAGCTTTGAAATTTTAGGATGGTTTTCCAAAGCAACAGACAAATGAGTTGAAAGACTCGCGTAAAAACGAGATGGCTGATTTTAGACTGAATTTTCCAGAGTTTTTCATGAGTTCTTTTTCTCAAAAATGTTGTGTTTCATTGTTTATAAGGTTGATAGTCGTTCTATTAATTTAATGGTGACATATCTCGTTTAATGGTGAATTTTCGTACTCTTTCGCTTTTTCTGTTCGAAAATAATTGCGCCCGGGATTTTCAATTTTCGAGTTTCAATGTGAGAAAAAGAGTAGAGGAAAAACCGGACAAGTTGGGAAAAAATTTGATCAAAACTTTGATCCGATTACCGTGATACTTGAGTATTATTTAAATGTTTGAGCAATCAAAATTTACAAAAACTGGTAGGTCTGTGATTTTTAAGGGCGGGAAGAGGGTAGAGATTATGCTCCGATAACCTCTTTGAACCTTAAATATTTGATTAAAAAAACAAAGTGTTTGTTAGAAGAAAGAATGTTTCAAAGTGAGGTCGTTAGCGGTTAAGTTTTTCTATCTAATAAGATCTTTGTGTTTAGGTTTAATTGGGTTTAGGTTTAATTAAAAAGAAACAAAGTGTTTGTTAGGGTATTCAGGTTTCAAAGTGAGGAGAAAGCAAAAAAGGTTCAACTTGTAATGATTAAATCAAAATCAGATTCTTCAAAAGATTCAAGTCTTTTATTTCGAAACCGGGTCCTAAAGAGAATCTTCAACTCTTAAAAACCAATCATTATCTTCGCCGTAAAGTCTTGTCTAACGGTCTATTCGGGAAACGAGCTGATAAAGCGGATTTCGATTTTATCGAAAATTCAAATTCTTTCATTGCTACTGTCACGAAGAATGAATCTTCTCACGAATTCGATCTCTTGCAACAAAAATCTTTCTCTATTTCACTTCTAGGAAACGTTACAAGCATTCGACATTTGAACTTTAATGATGGCTTTCGCGATTTGGAATTGGAAGAGGACGAGATCGTCGAGCCCCCGCTCAAAGTTTTGCTAAAAAAAGTGAAACTTGTGGATTGTTTGCATCTCGAACACATCACGGAAACCTGGTTGGACCGGATCTGTGACGTATTTAACTGTAAAGTCACGGAATCGGCGCATTTCGGCACGGAAACGGAAGATTCTGCAGAACTGGGTGCCGCTCATGGTTTGATAAATTTCATCGAAAGTGGACTGAGTTTTTGCAAGGCAATTTCACTTCATGATTTAACACCTTATGATTTAACATTTTCACTTGACGAAGAATTGTGGCAGGCCCTATTGAAGACTCGAGTTGAGTTCATTGAAATTAACGCGCCCTATGGAATGCCGAGTTGACGCAATCGATCCGTGTAATATCTATTTTAAACTTTAACAAGACCTTGGAAGTTGATAAATATTTAAATATTAGCACAACAGCTATTTGGGAATGAAACCCCGTCATTTTGCTGATTTTTCAGGTTGTTTACGAGAAACACCCGGGTGTTTATGGGAATGAGATGGCCGATCGACTTGCCGTGCAAGGAGCCGAACGGGCAAACTGAATCAAATTGTGTAAATCTTTTTGAGAAATTTAGAGCTTCAAATCGGCGCAATTAAGTCCAACTTTATTGTGATTGTTTTTACGTGAAAAGTTTCTTTGATGACAAGAAACGTGGTCGGTCCACTCGAGACGATCAATTCAAGATCGAGTCTCAACGATACTTGGGAATGCTTGAGCCACGTTTACTTCCATTTTGCGAGCCAAACATTACCTCAAAGATGGCTGTACTACCTGGACAACTAGCCAGTTCACACAAGCAAACTTATGATGGGACCTGTCGGAAGACTCTCGAATGTAGGCCGGGTACGATTTCCGGGCTGGATTGCGATTAATGGTGCTTCTTTGATTAAAGCACCCCAGCACCCGGATGGTACATTAGAAAGATGAACGCCCACCGGAGAGTCGTCACTGTAAAGGTTTTGATTTTGAAAGCGAATTCTAACTTATTAACTCTTAAACTCTACCCAAACTCTCGCTAACATTGAAAAATGAAAATTTTCAAGAGAAAATCATAAAATAACTATTTCTTGTTTAAAATTACCCGAAGTCTCCATTCCGCCCGTCCACAAATCGCCGGATGTGAGCGGTAGGGTGAGCTTGCTGAAAAGGAATCAATCTTCCAGAGCATTATTTGTCCAATCACCTTTCAGAATTCTATTCTATTCTTCCTTCCCCCTGCAGTACCAAAATTTACAAAAGAGATTAAAAATGTTTTTTCAATGATTGATTAAACTCAGTTTGAGCCGGTTTAAAGTGAAACATCTATTTTCTCTATTGATTTGATAGATCTTTTAAAAAGAATGCTTTTACTTAATTCAAAAGACGATCAAGCCACAAATCTTAATCACTGCACTCATTTTGAAGGTTTGAATGTGAAAAGGTTTAACAATAATAACCTCAAAAGCCGATTTTCAGCGAAATCTCACTTGAAATGCGGATTCTCGGGTTGTCGCCGCATTTCCCGCAAATAGGCCTCCATGAAATCTCGAGGATCCCCATCTTCCCTCAGATTCTGAAAGTGTCTGAAAAGGATTTGTTAAATTTCAATTTTGATTGCATAAGAATGCCGGTTTTACCCAATTTTGACCAATTCCATCAAAAAGTATTTGATCGCCAAAAAAGTTTTGTTTCAAATTTACTGAAGTCAAGGGGAAATTTGCTCGTCCAATTAAATAGCAAAGACAGCAAGCAAAAAAGATGGAATCATTTTTTAAATGTTTACTATGAAATATTTGAGATTTTATTGGGAAATTTTCACAATTTCAAGAGAAAAACTCGTTTTTCGAGGGAAAACAAGAAAACAAACAACAGGCTAAACAGGCAATAAAAGGTGTTCAGCTGAATATCTTTAAATACCCAACTCATTTACTTAAACTTACTACAAAGCCTACAGCCATAGCAAATAAAGGAATGAAAGTCAAAAAAAATCTTTGATTAAAGCACCCCAGATTTGAACAAGGTTCACACAAGCAAACTTATGATGGGACCTGTCGGAAGACTCTCGAATGTAGGCCGGGTACGATTTCCGGCCTACATTCGAGCTTTGAAAACCCTTAAAACGCGTATAAGTGGAGGGTTCTACATTTTTTAGATGTAGCGTAGTTTCAGCCATATTTTTGAAAAAACCAGTTCGATTCGATGCCGGGAAGTAGTTGAAATCGATCTTCAAAGTTGTGACCCAAACTGTGTCAAATCCCATACAAAAATTGAAGGATTTGACACATTTTGCTTTTTGATGATTTTATATAATTTTTATTATTCTTAGAGTAAGAAGTAACATGAGTCTTAGAGTAACATGGAGAGTAAGAAATGGTTTTGGAAAGTGCTTCTACAAAGCAGCACAAAGTACACTAAACTTTTAGTGTACTTTGTGCTGCTCTTGTAAACACCCCTTTTCTGGCGCACTGCAATTCTTCCATTTCTGTGTTCGTTGATTACCAATAAAGTCAAATAGAGCAGGCAGGCTAACCCCCATTAATTCGATTGGAACTGTTTTGAAGTTAAACTTTTTTGAAACATGAATTTTTTAAGCTGAAGAGTGATGTGAAAAGTGACAATTTTCTAATTTTAAAGCCATTTTTCAGTTTGTTGGTTACGAGGAGGGTTGCTGGTCGACAGTGGGCAGAGACGACACTGTCCCAATGCAAATCGTTAGCATCGGTCATGGTTGTGAACATGTGGGTTTGGTTAGGATTTTAATGCCGTAATTTTGTCTCTATTTTTACCCAATTAATCTACTTTTTATAAATTTCGATATCGATATCCTTTGTGAACTCACACAGAAACAGATAAAAAAAAAGAAAGATTTGGTAAAAATATCGAGTCAAGATTACGGTAGAAATGAGGAAAGAGGGCAGGGTTTAGGAAATGAACTATTTGTGAAATAAACTGTAAACCCGGACCAAATCCAAGCCTCGAAAATTACCCCATTCATATTGCCAATCTAAGATAAAATCCTCCCTGTCTTCTGTTGACCGTTTAAGAAAGCGAGTTTCAACTTGTTCACGATTGAATCGAGTTCAACGGAAATAATGGAAGATCTATTTTTCTCTATTTACTTTGCAGCAGCTCTAACAATCGATTTGATTTGATTCTGTCAAAAAATCTCATCTTTAGATAAGTCTTTCGCAGCTTCTAGTTGGTAATCGCTAGGCGTGCAATCGTAATTTCATTTTTGCTTGCAACATTCGAAGTTTTGTACCAAAGGTGAAATTAAATCCAAAAGATACAGCTCTAAAACAGCTTTCATTGTGTAAAAGAGAGAAGAGTTTCGGCTTCTACAAAGTGAGCTCACTATCAGTTAATTGACAAAGCGAATTCCAATTATTTGAACTTACCAACTAAGCAAACTCCCTCGATCTCCAGTTCGGCGTCACATCGCACGAGCTGGCCCATGCACTCGGCGTCTTCCACGCGCAATCCCGCTACGATCGTGACTCCCATGTTGCCCTCAACAACGAGGCCGTCGAGAAATCGATGCTCTACAATTTCGCGAAAGTTTGTCAAGTTTAAAAAAACTAATAAATTGAGTTAGAAAATGAACAAAGCGATCCGTGCAACTCATAGGGTAAACCGTTATCCCAGATTGTCGCCGGGTAAAACTCGTCGAAAAAGGCTTCACGTTTGCTTCTGAAAGTCGATTTTTAACTCTAGAAATAATGGTGATTACACAATTATGTGTGGATTATTTAAATTAGCATACCAATCTACATTACTAATTTACATATTATTAAGTAACATGCAAGCACTTGTATAAGAAGTGTCCTAAAGCACTTGTAGAGGAAGAGATTCGAACAAATAACAAATGATTCAATTTTTGGCTTGACCTGGCTATTCTATGGCATGCCTACAGTAATCATAACTTACAAGAAACGTTACAAAATGAACGACAACCAGCCGAGGATAAACAAAGTACCGCTGGTTGGCGTGAATTTCCGCAGCTTCTCCTCGCCGGTGATACTGTAATGATAGCAGGGGCCACAGAAGAGAATGATGCCGGCCGAGAAGAGAAGAGCGGTTAGTAGAGGGTGACGAGCCTGACGAGCGCCAAGCAAAGCCACCTGGAACTTGGTGTACGGTGCTTGGAAACGGTAGGTGTTAAGAAAGAAGAAAATCCAGGCATTCAATATTTGTAAACCCGTTTTAATGTTATTTTGCAGAAAAAATAATTGGTTTTTCTAATGAAATCAACCGTAGTTTAATTGGTGCATTTGTTGGCTTGAAACGGCAGAAAGGAAAACACTTATGCATCAACCTAATATTTAGCTAGTCAATATGACAGGAAAACATTGCGAAAAGTTTATTTTTTCGATTCATTTTGATTTGAAAGTTTTCCTCTTTAAAATCTTCACAAAGAAAGGTTCATTCCAGGCTTACTTTTGGAAATTCGATGTCATAGAATGAAGAACTCGACTCGCTTCTGCAATGAGAGCAATGAAGCCGATTTGTGTTTCAAATTGAATTAATCAAAGGAAAAACTTTTGTTAGAGTTCTAAAATCAATTGCGATAATCGAATTATGATAATTGCAATCTCCTGGCACCATTTCGATAATATTAGCTGATCTGTGAGTCAATTTTTACAGCAAAAATCATGTTACAATGTTCTAAAGCCATTGTTAGTCCGTGAAAAACCGAAATACACTCCGAATGTAAACAAAAACAAAAAAACCCAAGCCTAAAAACCCTTTCTCATACTCATTCAAAATTAAAAATTACTTTCCCTTATTGTTTTTCCTTGCCTTTTCCCACCCTTTCTCATACTCATTCTCCATTTCCCCCGTTCGATTTCCCTTCGCTATTCAACGAGGCGGAGTGACGATACATGAAGAAGGCGATATGATTGTTAGATTTGTATAGGTTTGTATTTAAGGAACAGTTATTTAGATACAAATTAGCAGATAAAGGTGCTCCAGAGCTGAATCCCTACAGCATCGAGCTTCAACATTTTAGCGTGTGCCCGAGGATCAGCTGATTTGGAATCAGCATAAAATTCCCTATGGAACAAAAAGAAACGGCATCTCGAAACTATTTCAGAAGCTGGCTGAATGATGAGACAGACGAGCTGAATCCCTACAGCATCGAGCTTCAACATTTTACTGTGCCCGAGGATCAGCTGATTTCACGAGAGCCTTTGGTATGTTTATAATGAAAGTTTTCTAAAACACTAAGTGATAAGTTATTATTTAATTGTTTAACTTGCAGCCCTACAAACCCCTTGATGAAACCACGCTGACACTGGTGAACGATGTGGAAAAGTTGAGATCGCTTAAGGACACGTTGAATGCTTGCCAATCTAGCATTATCGCTCGTACATGGGGATCACATGTTTGATTCAAATCTCCACAAGGGACGCCGGCTTTTTGCTTGACCCATTTTTGTTATGGTCAGAGCTGCATATTTTGGACGAGCCGTTCTCAGATTTTAAAGGTAAATTTAAAATAATCTTGAAGGTAACTTAAAGGTATTTTTGTTTTAGGTATTTCATGGAGCCGACAAGGATATCGTGTGGTTGCAGCGCGATTTTGGCATCTACGTGGTGAACATGCTTGACACAGGCCGCGCTGCGAGGCATTTGGGTCTACCAAAACATAGCTTACAAGTTTGTCTACAAAAAAAACAGTCAAAGATACTAAGTTTGTTGTTGAGCTATATTTCATTTATTTAGTACCTTGTTGACTCGCTGTGTCAAGTACAACTCAACAAGGAATTCCAGACGACCGATTGGCGTGTTAGGTCTGAAAAACCTTGGGGTTTATGTTATTCCTTTTATTTTTAGACCACTCCCCGAAGAAATGATGCACTACGCCCGGGAGGACACTCACTATTTACTCTACTGCTATGATCTGCTACGGGAAAATTGTAATCATAGAACAATAAAATTTGATTGCCATGAAAAAGCACGCCTCACTTTTCACTGATGCTATCGTCGATCACATTTCACACATTCACACGTGACAATGTCCTCAAACGGTGTATTCTTTGAGAACGATTCATCACAGAAGTCCTCGCGTACTCATTCGCGAATTTTCCCCATTCGAGTTTCCCTTCGCTATTCACCGAGTCGACTTTGCTTGGGCTAATCTTACTCGTTTCTTCATCTAAAAAAGTAAAATAGAGTAAACAGATTTTCAAAATATTTAGTGTGAGTTTCAAAGTAATTTAACTTCAAGCTAAAACCTTGAGTTTAATGTACTGGTGCTGGGCCGTCTTTACTTAATTAAAATCGCTTCTTTCATTACCCTATTAAAACAATTCTTCTGCATTAGAGTTGTAAGTTTCAAAGTAATCAACTACAACTCAATTTTGAGTTTAAGAGTTCGTTTTTTTCGCTTTTTCCATTTCCCCATGAAAACATTGCCGTGTTTGAACGAAGCGTTTACAAATTTGAGCACTTTGTTCAACTTACATGGATTTCTCGTAGCTCTTTCAGGTCGACCCTCAACTGATCCCTTTCTTGCCAAATGAGAGTTTCTCTATAATATATTACTCTAATAGACTCAAAAAGTAAATACTCTAATAGAAGCCCTACAGAAGCGTCGCGGTCCAAGTTTACACTCAAACAATCTCAACACAACACCACACTCGAGTATTATCATCTTTTAATAATTTTTTCTAAGCGCTCGTTAATGTTAAAAAGATGTGTTATATCTCAAAAAATCACTTATTTTCTCTCTCAAATGATACCTAGGCGCATCGAAAAATTTAGGTGTAACAATTATTCTATGAGGCTCTAGAGGCTCTAGATAAGCTCTGGAAGCTCTAGATAAGTTCTAAAGAAGCTCTAGAAAATAGAAGCTAGAAAATAGAAAATAGAAATTTCCCATTTTCCGAATCATATGACCCTTCAGAAGCCGCTTATCTAAACGTTTCTGCTGAGATTTCCCACCGAACACTGGTCGGTTTCGAATTGTTTCACATCCAAGAAAAAGATTTTGGGTAAAGAAGCTGAGAAATTCCTTTGAACAATCGAATAAGAATGGAAATGGAAGAATTGAGTGCACCAGAGAGGGGTGTGTACGGGATTCAAAGTGGGCACAAAGAACACGTCAATGGCCAGCTGTAGGCTGCGGCGTCAATGGCTGAAGTCCAGAATAGACACAATTTGCTGACTTTGCGAACTAAGCTTTGAACAAGGATTTTGTTCTTTATTTTCCATAGAGCAAACCATGATTAGTTGTAATGCTTTTGATTAACTTGACCAAAAGTTGAAACCCAATTATTTATCAATGAACCCAATAATCAATGCACACTCTTCCCCCAATAATCAATGAACACTCTTCCCCATCACCCAGATCAAAGCTCTGTGAATGGGGGACATGCAGCCGTAAAAAGGGCTGTTTTCATAGGTTATTTGAGAACTTTATTGTAGCAAATGTCGCGTATAATGTTCTTTAGACAAAAGGACGTCTCTTCCCTTTTATATAAAGTAAATTCATTTTGAAAAGAAAAAGCAAAACTAATTTTCTCGGGAACGAACCCACGACTCCTCTTTCCCACTCTCGTTTTTCGTTCGCGATCTCACCACTCGGCCAAAAGAAACGGCATCTCGAAATTCGATCTGGACGTCAAGGAAAGTGTTTGTGACAGACAGACAGACGGACAAACAGACAGGCAGACGTTTTTTCTGCTTTAGGACGAAGATTTGTGACCTGTTCATCCGTGCCACCATTCGCTTGCAAATGGCGCGTCGGGATCTCGGATATAATAGCCCCATCGGATTACCATCTCTTTCGGTCAATGAAACAAGCAGTTTCTACCCGGACAGGATTCCAGTGAGTGAAAAGGGTACGGCACATTGTACCAAAGAAAGTATAGACCGTATCTAGGATATAGCAGTTAGCACAGTACCCTAAAGTGCTTGTTGTTTCTTAGAATATCCCTAGTAGCTCCTCAACTGGCTGAGCCAATCTAGTAGAAGTAAAGTACAGTACAGTACTGTCAAAAATGTATTGTCTAGTGCTCCGAAAATCCAAAAACAATGTACAATGTTGTACCTAAAGTCCCAAATACCTAATATCAAGGCTTTATGGAGAAGTTGAGGCTATTGTGGCAGACTTTTTTGAAAAAAATTTGATGTTTCAAAGTTTTTGATGTGAAATGTGATTGAGCCAAAGTAATGATTGATACGGCACATTGTACCAAAGAAAGTATGTACCGTATTTTGGCCGAAATTGATTGTTTGTCAGTGAAATCAGTGAAATCAGAGAGAAAATCAGTTTCACTTGTGTCAACACTTCGATTGCTTCGATTAATGACGCCTTCAAATGAATCTAGTAGAAAGAAAATGGCCTTTTTCCTCGACATTAATGACAGATTCCGATGGATTTAGTAGAAAAAAAATTGCGCAATGACACCAATTGCGAAATCTTGCCCGCTGTTGCAACGAAAATGACTCAGTTGCCTTTTTCCCGTCGAATTTTAAGATAAAAATCCCAAAATCTCACAAAACCCTTGACTTTTCGAGTTAGCTGTTTACTTCACCCGAATCTCTAATCGTTGTGACTGATTGAGGAAACGCTCACAGCTGAATCTCTCGCCTGGCGAACAAACTTTGAATAAGTCCTAGCCGAAACGGTTCTAAACTACACCCCCAAGATGACAACAGCATCGGTGTTGGCCCTGTTCCGGTGAAACTCCGTGAATCGGGATAATACACTGCATGCGGAGTGTAAATGTAAAATATTGAATTCTAGTTAATGTTAGCGGTTAATTAGTTTTCACGTTTTCAGCGAATCACTGTTCGCTTCTAGAAATTTGAAATTTATTCCGTTAAATATTGAGAATTTAAAGTTACTCAAAAGTGCCCGTCAAAAGCAGTCAGCAAAACTTTGTTGAAGAAAAAGAAGTACTGATTTGAGAGTTTTTTCTTCAGTTTTTTCTTCAATATCAACAATCCTTTGGCGGGGGCTTAGAGAGGAATTTAGATAGGGATGAATGCCCATAAACTTTGGTGGCAAACATCCAAACCTTTTGTCCTTTCAAACAAAAACAAACGATTCGTTGATTTTGAAAGAAAAGATGAAACTTTTCACGCTAATGTCCTAATGTGCCTTTGGTCGACTCATCAAGCAGATGAGCCTCCCAAAACCAATCTTCCATTTGACCGAAACGATCCATTGTTCGCTATTCATGGCTCACGATTTAACGAGCTGCAAGTAAATTTGTTCAAATTTCTTCTAGACAATGGACAATTCTTCTTAGACAATTTCAATCATTGGCTGTGTCGGATGTGATTTTCTGATTGAATTTTTCCATCGAGGATGTCAAAAGCAACCAACGGGAAAAGAGGTAAGCAGATAAAAATCGAGTTTTTTTGTTTTTCGATATTCAAGAAGAAGGGAATCTTAATCTAAAGATTTTTAATATTTATTTATAAATATACTCAGGATTTACAAGCACCCTCTGATCCAAGCGATGTCATCACTTGTTTCGATCGTTTTCCGTTGTTGATCAATGATCGACATCTCTCAGATAGGATCCATTGTAAACAAATGTAGGTGAATCAAAGCTAAATCAACATTTTCTATGTTTACTTCATTAAGAAACTCAAAAAGTCTACAAATCATTGCAAAAGTAAAAGTGTTTTCAGGCCATATGACTTGCAATTTAATTTCTTGTTGTACTATTGCTCGTCTGGTCTGGTCTGTCTTCCTGTATGTAATACGTAATTTCTTGATGTCATCTGTGCTACCCACATACCGTCTGGTCTGGTCTGTCTTCCTGTATGTAATACGTAATTTCTTGATGTCATCTGTGCTACCCATATACCGTCTGGTCTGGTCTGTCTTCCTGTATGTAATACGTAATTTCTTGATGTCATCTGTGCTACCCATATACCGTCTGGTCTGGTCTGTCTTCCTGTATGTAATACGTAATTTCTTGATGTCATCTGTGCTACCCATATACCGTCTGGTCTGGTCTGTCTTCCTGTATGTAATACGTAATTTCTTGATGTCATCTGTGCTACCCATATACCGTCTGGTCTGGTCTGTCTTCCTGTATGTAATACGTAATTTCTTGATGTCATCTGTGCTACCCATATACCGTCTGGTCTGGTCTGTCTTCCTGTATGTAATACGTAATTTCTTGATGTCATCTGTGCTACCCATATACCGTCTGGTCTGGTCTGTCTTCCTGTATGTAATACGTAATTTCTTGATGTCATCTGTGCTACCCATATACCGTCTGGTCTGGTCTGTCTTCCTGTATGTAATACGTAATTTCTTGATGTCATCTGTGCTACCCATATACCGTCTGGTCTGGTCTGTCTTCCTGTATGTAATACGTAATTTCTTGATGTCATCTGTGCTACCCATATACCGTCTGGTCTGGTCTGTCTTCCTGTATGTAATACGTAATTTCTTGATGTCATCTGTGCTACCCATATACCGTCTGGTCTGGTCTGTCTTCCTGTATGTAATACGTAATTTCTTGATGTCATCTGTGCTACCCATATATCGTCTGGTCTTCCTGTATGTAATACGTAATTTCTTGATGTCATCTGTGCTACCCATATACTGTCTGGTCTGGTCTGTCTTCCTGCTAACTTTTTAAGACGATCAATGGTACTTTTTGCGATCCCGGCATAATATGCCGTTTTTAAAGAACCGTCACATCCTTGGTACCTCTGTTCGCCGTAGAGGTAGGAGTAGGTATAGGGATTCGGCATTCCGGAAACATATAGATATCGGCGCCTTCCTCTTCCTCGGAGTCCGCGTGTCCCAGTTGAAAGCGTTGAGCCCAACATGAGTGCTATTAGCTGGACTGATGGGCTCTGAGACTTTGTGAGTTCGGTACTTATACATTACCTGACCGATTTACCCAAAATTAGTCCAAATCCAGCCACTTACTTGTTGTTGCCTAATCAAATAGTCGATTGGTCGTCCCTCGTCCACAATCTGTAAATCGTTATGAATCGGGACGTAATCTAAAACGAATATTTGCAAATTTCGTTGTAAGCATTTTACATTTTATTTCATTTGGATTTTTTCGTAATCTGACAAAAATCAAGATCTTTCAAAGCTCACTTCAAATTCGGAGCATGAATGTATCCCTGTTGTGTGGCTTGCAAAATGTACTCAATTTTTCCCTCAAAATTGTCAATTTGGTCGACTGGCTAAAAGTTAAACGGTAAAAAGTACACTACGGCAAATAACAAACCCGATTCAGAAAAATCGGTATCTCTTTGCGTAGCCAATTCCGTAGTCGGTGAGGGTCAACGGCGAGCTCTTCTCGAGCCATCTAAATAAAAAAGTTAGCATGATACCTTGACCCCATAGGACTCTTGATTTTATTAGACATAATGGCGTCAAAATCACGGATCAGAAATCTTTCGTGCTAAGCAAACCTGTAGAGTAAAGCTCCGTCTTTGCTCGTTTTCAAATAAGTCCTCGCGTTTTGAAGATCATAGACCATACCACGGAAATATGGATTTTTATTAAGTTCCAGCCTGAAATAATTGCATTTTCACGTGTTAAATTCCACTTCTCACCTAGTAATAGACCCATTTACGCACGCTTCCTCAAGGCTTTTCGACATGTTGATGGCTTGTACTAACTAACACGAGAAACTAATATTAATGTCATTAAAACAAACCCTTTGTCTATTTTTCTCCCTCTCTTTGAATATTTTTTCATCCCGTCGAGATATGTTTCGCAGCTTTTTTCTTTCACTAAGGTACGAATTGATAAGCCCATGTGCAGGAAACCAACTTTTCCATAGCTAGATCATTTGTGTTGAGCCTTGTGTTTAGATAACGGTAGTATTTGTGAAGCAGTTGTTTCTCCACATCAAGAGGCACTTTCTAAAAAGTAACTACATTACAATTTTTGTTGTCAAATTCACCTCGGACTCCTATTTGATCTTTTCTTTTAGAAATTCCTTTTTCACTCGGTAAGGGGTTCACTAAAGTAAATTGTACTATGATAGCAATGTGTCAAACAAACTCATATGCTATCTCCGCTGTTCTGCGAGAGTCGGTGGAGATGAAAGTTGACGAAGTTCCACAAAGAGGGCAGTTCGGATTATTCTTGTACCATCTAAAGTCAGTTTTTACATAATCATCAAGCTATAACTGACCTTCGCAAACAGGTGAAGCAAAACTTGTGACCCGGATTGTTCCCACAGCCTCCGGGAATCGAGGGATCAGCGATCTCACTAAAAACTCAAATTTAAACATGTCAACACATTTCATCAGTTAAAAAGCTGGCGATATATAGTATTTGCTGGAAGGCAAATTTTTCCCACCCAGGGTTTTTGACCATGCCGAATCGATTCAGGATAGTCAAAAACCCCTGGCTGCAAAAAATCAGGTCATTTGGCGAAAAAATCTTTCCCCCAACTACTATAGCCCCAAAAAGCTAGCTTTACTAGACCTTTACGTTATGTCAAAAGAAGACAAGATTCAATATAATTTCCATACGTTAACCTTACGAAAATCACTGTTTTAACTAAAGTATCCAGTAAAAAATTTCCAAAAACCTTTTTATGCGCAGAGACAAATATTTGAGACAAAATCAAAACAAAATCTTTTTACAAACTCTTCAGAAAGAACGATGGGGAAATTTTAAACGATCAATTCTAGCTTAGCTTATACTTCATAGATGCGCAAAAGATTTTTGCTATCGATAGGTATTTTGAACTTCCAGAACTTCCTATTAGTTTTTGAGAAAGGGACTAAAAAATGAAAATCGAGAGGGGACACTCGAAAAATATACTTGTTTAACTGAATATCTAAAATTGAACGATCAACCCTATATAAGATTAAAAGAGCTCAGAAATATCATTTGTGTCGTTTGTCATTTTCAGCTCTTTCCGTTGCAGTTCTGTATTTTTTTGGTTTTCTTGTTTCTTTTCAGCTTTAAACTATTGAATATAATGTATTTTTTTAGAAAATGCGTCGTGGACGAAAAGTAGACGATGATCCACTTCCCGAGGCGCGCGAGATGAACCTCAACCGAACCGCTTTTGACTCGTTGCCCTACCCAGATGGCTCGCTGAAAACTATCGAATTCACGCAGTTCTTGTGGGTTTTTTAATAACTTGCCTTAATTGAATTGTTAAAAGGTTTAATAACGTGATTGCAAAGGTTGTACTTGCTAAATTCAAAATGTCCACGTATTGAAACCTTTTAACCTTGAAGTCCTTAATCAAGTTGTTATAAAGTCAAGAAGAGCTGTTGGGCCGGTTGGCTGATGCGGTGTCACTGGTACTCAATCATAGTTGTTACTAGCTCATGAAAACCCCAAGCCTAATAGCTAATTCAGTAGTAAAAAGACAAGCTAAACATTTCATAATTTAGGACCTTCAACCACGTTTTCATGGAAGCGGGCCCGTACCTCAACGTTCTGATTGGACCGAACGGCTCCGGAAAAAGCAGCATCATTTGTGGAATCTGTTTGGCGATGGGCGGCCGTCCGGAGGTGTGTTAAATGAAGGTTTGCATGTGCCATAGTTTTAAGTTGGCAGATAGCTAAACAAAACTTGACTACTTGGTTAAAACGTTCCTGTTTAGCTTCTCGGCCGCTCCGAGCGCTTTGCCGACTACATCAAACAGAATGCGAGCCGGGGCTTCGTGGAAGTTACAGTGTAAATTTATTGCTTTCCGTGTTCAGACTTCAATGGACTTCTTTAGCTCTGACAAGTCAAGGCCCAGTGGAGTGACTCGGTTTCGTATCGTCATCGATCGAAGTACTGAGAAGGGAAAGGTTGAGTACTTCATCGACGGAAAGCAAGCGACTCGTACAGCCGTTGCTCAGGCAGCCCATGATTACAATATTCAGGTATGATCAAAGATTGCCTACTCATAGTACGCATAACAATGTTCGCTATTCAGATTGAGAATCCGTGCACATTCCTCGTTCAGGACAAAGTAAAAAGCTTCGCCGCACAGGATCCAAAGGAATTGCTCATCAATACACAAAAGGTTTGTGAGCATTCAACTTTAAGAGCTAACATTTATCAATTGTAGGCTGGTGATTTGACACTTTTGCGGATGCACGATGGGTTGAGAGAAGAGAAAGCACGCGAGAAAGATTTGAAGCTCGGTGTGCAGGAATATCAAAGTGCTTTGGAGGTATGTTTCTTAACTTCTTAACTAACGTGTTTTTTTATTTATTTAGAAAATCCAAAATGAGATCTTCTCACTTGAGCCAAAGGTCGAATCGTACAAGAAACAGAAGTCGATGGTGGGGCGCATCCAAGGGTTGCGGAGAAAGGCCGCAATTTTGGTAAGTATGAAGTGTTTAAGCCAATTTAATCATTCATCTAGGCTTTCACAAAAGCGGAAGAAAAGTATAGAAAGGCGGAGCAGGGAGTAAATGAACTGAAAGAGAAAGTTGCCAAAGTCAATGAAGAGCTCGAGGCTAGTTTAACTTGTAACAAGATTAATCCAAACTCTGATTGTTTCCACAAAAATTTTATCTATCTTTTAGACCCACAAAAAGGAAGAGAAGAAGTTGGAAAAAAGTTATGGCGAGTGCAAGGAGAGGCGTCGTGAACACGTAATGATCCTAACCCTTATCCAATAATTTTCAAATTTAGGAACAACAAATACGAGAGTCAACGCAGAAGATGGAGGAGAATGAGGACCCGCGTTGGTACAATGTACAAGTTGGAGTATCTTGCATTTTTTGTATTGAAAGTTTAGATGAGGGACATCACCGACAAGCTGAACCAAGAGAAGGGACGATTGAGAAGCTGGGAGCAGAAGTGTGTTTTTGTGATTGCCTTTTTTAGGATAGCGTTTTGAAAGTTAAGGAAACTGCAAATGAGTTAAAGAATCTAGTTTTTCCATTTTAGTTTGAACCAGATGCAAGCCGCGGTTACAAATGCTAAAGAAGCGCTGGAGAGTGCGCAGAGTGAACGAGACGCTTTGAAGGTTTGTTGGCTGGTGGAGATTGAACCGGAGTTGAAGTTTATAATAAAGTACTTACACTTCCAATCACCCTACACTCTAATTTAGCCTCGTGAAGCTGAAGCTCGACAAAAGCAGCAGGATCTCCAGCGACTTTTTGCCGATATTGGAAGTCGTGAACAACAATTGGAGAACGCGATCTTCGAATCCAATGCGCAAAGACGAAGTGAGCGGTTTTCAATTTCAAGAACTAAAGACCTTAAAATAGACAGACATTAGACACTAGTTCCAAAGCTATGTCATCAAACCCATTAAATATACTAGAATATTTAATGGAAGTTTAGAAGCCGGTGAGGTACAGGAAAGGAACGAGAAATTGTTACGCGAACGGCTCAACCAGTTGCCCAACAACGGACAAGCTCGTGATGCTTACATGTTTGTCCATGGTTTTTATTTTGCTTTATAAGGTGAATTTAGGTACTACAAACAGCATTGCAACGAATTCAGACGTCCGATTTATGTGCCTATGATTGATGTAAGTTAGCTTTCTTAGTAAACGTTAGTCGAACAAGGTTTTCAGATTAAAATTCGTGGCGGGGACAACGAATTGACGCTATTGTCGAACGTGTTGCAGGCTCGTGATGGAACTACATTCATCTTCGGATGCAAAGATGATGAATTGAAGCTCACCGAACGTTTTTCCAAAATCAACACTACTGTCGTGGATAACGCAATGGTGAGTGTTAACTTTCTAGATGCCGTATTCTCTGCGATAGAATGTCTCTTATAAATAGCAAGTAGTCGTCCGTTATTTTCAGTTAGACCGCGTGCTTTCAAAGCTGACCAAATTTGAGATCCCCGAAGAGGCGCGTCAAATCGGAATTTTCGGCACAATGTTGGACGTGATTGAGTGTAACGATGTGATTCGCGTCTTCTTGGCTCAGGGTTGCTCGGTGAGGTTTTGTGAAAACGTTATCGAATATGTTGGTGTCAACGAAAAACTAAAAACAAGTGCCATAACTTGACACTTAAGTATAAAATGGGATCTGATTTCTCTTATTGTTCCTTTTCAGTGGACCAAACTTTTGCGGGGTGAGCAGTCAATCGATAAAAACTACGCGGAGGCTGCAGATCTTTTGAAGCAATGGCAATCACAAGGTTCCATCTTCACAATTCACAATCAGGCGAGTTCAAGGTTTGACGATGGAAACTATTAAGTTTTAGATCACATGGACAGTGTCGCAGTACTCGAGGGAGGTGCTCGTCGAACAGAGACCGTTGTCGTTTGAAAGAAAACGTTTCTACCTGGCCAACTTGAAAGATTACGAGAAAATCGACCCGGACCTAGCAAAGAAGTAAGAATTTATGAGATTTAGCCAAGTCACTGCACTCAATTAGTTATAAAGAACTAGCCAAGTCACTGCACTCAATTAGTTATAAAAGGCAAAGGTCTGTATTTATGTTCAACAAATTTTTACATTTAAGATATGAGACACAACGGCACAACTTTGAGCAGCGCCGACAAGAGTTGCAGCGAGAGAAGAGTGAAATCACCGCCGAGCGCGCAAAAATTCACAGCGATTTGGTGAGGGTTTAGTTGTTTTTGTTTATTTCAGTCGAATAATGGAACGGGCTCGACATAAAGTTCGAACCCATTTCCATATTGAGTGGTTAGTAATAGTTTATATTTAGCAAGACTTCTACAAGAAGACCGAAGTATGTCGTCATGGCGAAAGAATTTACAGGGACAAACAGGCAGAGTTAGTTTCTATTAAAGGATAAAACTGAATTTTTTTTTGTTTAGACTTGCGGACCACCAAGCAGACAAGCCGAACGTGGAACGCGTTGAAAGAGATTTCCAGGCACGCAAAAAAAGGACGCTCAACGAGTCACTGCATCGGGCTGATCGAGTGTTTGAGGCAAAGGTCTGATTTTAACGCTATGAAAAGCCCAGCTAAATTGTTCCATCGTTCAAGTTAAGTACCGCAATTCCTAAAAAAAACGAAAGTACGTTTAGCAGTTGCATTTCCATGCTTCGCTTCACTACGAAGCGCTGTGTCAGGCAGTTAATGGCGCTCGAGATAAACGCTTCGAGCTTGACGGCTTGACTCGAATTGCTCAGCAGAAATTCAATGAAGCGAAGGTGAGCTAAATGTTTTGGTTTATTAGTGCAAACTAAATCTTTCCAAGATAATTTACTGCATGTATGGACTTAGCGATACTTTTATGTTTGATTTTAGAACGAACTTAAGGACAAAGAGGGACAAATCAATCAAGAAACCGCGGAGTACGAGGAAGCCAAGTAAGCGTTTGCTCCTATGAAAGTCATTTCTCTAATTTTAGGGTCCTCTTAAAGCGACTTGTCAAACTGGAGACGCTAACGAAAAATAAGTTGAGCAAGGCGGAGCTACTGCATCTGAAGGAAATAGAGCGGGTTTGCTTACCCAATTTATTTTTAGTTAGGCAGTACTGATACTATTAAGACCATAATAAATTTGAGGAACCACACTTTAGCAAGTTGTTTCAGGACTTCGAAAAATACAAAATCCCGAAAGATGCTGATGAAGTTGAGCGTTTGATCGTTGACGAGGAGACACGAATTCAACTTGTTCAGGGTGGCGGCGTAGGAACAATTCATGTACGTTTGTTAATTGCGATTATCTACTTGCTTTCTTTCAGGACCTCACACGTCTCGAGCAATTGAAGCGACAAATGGCCCAAAACGAGCTGAGGAAGGCGACCGCCACGGAGACTTTCAAGGAATACGAGGCAAAGCTCGGCGAAGCGGTTGACAAGTGAGTGAGACGCACAAAAAGTTAATCAGTCTATCGTAAAAATGCAAAACACAATAAGAAATCATCATCCTCTTGTAGCTCATTGGTTAGCCGTTCCGTGGATGATCGACTTGACTTTTTCCTCGAAGTCGTGCAGGGCGGTTTTAACGGAGGCGTCGGTATTCGAGTTGCGCAACTCGTGCAACTAAAATTGAGTAGTTCGTAAGAGTTAGGGCAGATTTTGTTTCATAGATCACTTTAAAGCTAGGACTCCACTAACTTTGCCCATTTTCTCCTTCGGTGTCATCGTGTCGTTGCGCATGATGCTTTGCGCCTCAGTGGCCAGCTTGCCAGCTTCCGGGTTCCTTTGTTGATATTGAGCTATTTCCTAGTACCTTTTGAAATCTAACTTTCCTTCATTTAAAACCTGATTGATGGCGGTCATCTGAGCGTCGGTTGGCTTCTTGAATTCGTGTTGCTGAGTGGTGTCCTGTCGCTTGCGACGGTAAAAACACTACAAAGTTCTAGTACGCCAAAAAGTATTCAACAGAGCACCTGAGCGATTTTCTGCTTGGCCTCCTCGGTGATCTCGGGTTCCGTCGGGGCAACGTTTGGCAAAAGAAGTACAATCACAAATAGAGATTTCATTTTTTCAGTTTGAACAAAATTGTGATCTGATTCTCGGTATTGCCGAGAAGAGTGATTTCATACCCCACTTTATTCCCTCAATTGGATCGGGGTCAAAACTGGTTCCTGGGACAATTAACTCCTGATTCACCCCAATTTGCTAGGTGTTTATGATGGAATTTAGTTTTAAATGTAGACGAAAACAAAGCTTTATTGATTTATTGAGATTTAGGGAAGATATTTTTTTTGCAAAAATTTAGTTATGAATTTAATTAATCGCTTAAAAACGGCTTGTCTTGAACTTTGTTTTTTGCATAACCATAGTACAATGTCTGGCGGATAATTGGTCTCGGTCGATTGCGCGCACAAATCGTTCTGTGCCGCACTCGATTGGGTTTTTGCCGAGTTCACGGTCAACTTTATCCCCAGTCAATCATTTGGAGAATTTTTTAAAAGCTTTGAGTCATCATTGAAACAGATTTGGTCTTTGGAGCATATTTTTGGTAACTTTAGTGGAAATGTTCTGACGCAACTTATCACAAAATTTATTAATTTAGCTTTAAGTCTAGTTGGATGGCACGAGGCCAATGATTTTCATCTGTGCACCTCAAGAGCCTCCTGATCGGCGGCTGAGACCCGGGCGGTGACTTGTTTGATCTGAAGTGGGAAAATGTTTAGCAATGGTGACTTAAAGCCTGCAAAACTTTACTCCAAACATCATTACTACGAGAAAACTCTATTGAATGATTTTGATGTTGAGATGAAAACTTGGAGCTCGTTTAGAGGTTAACTAATAATCTCACATATCTTGTCGATTCAGGGTTAAAACTGTCTTGGCATCTAGTCCTCAAAAATTCTGCCTCTATATTGATTTACTAACATCTTTTTAGTTCTAGACGGATTAGAATGGCTGCAAGACTCACTTCTAATACGAGAATTTCACTTACCAGTATATGCCTTTGATTAGCTGAAGCTTGATTGTTGATTGTGTCACGAATCTGCTGACATGCGGATTGAGCGGTAGTTGGTAGTGAAGGGCAAATCTAAAGGGTTGCAAATTCGACTTGTTTTGGAACCAAGTCTACTTTGTCAATCTTTGCCAATGTGGCCGCATCGATTCGGCAGTTGTGGCCGTCGTTGTCACCGTGACGTCGGCTCGTTTGACTTTGCGAACAACCTAGGATAGAAATTGGAAAGTTAGGTCAAGGTAAAAGTCTTTTATTTGGAACGGTCTTCTGCCTAATAACAACTTGAAATGGTTGTTAAAGCAGATTCTTTTTTGCGACTTTTCGGATTTTCGGATTTTCGGAGGACTTTTCGACTTTTGGAGGACTTTTCGACTTTTCGGATTTTCGGACTTCATCAATTTTTGATATTTTTGGTGGGGTTTAGATACATTGATGACGCTCATTTTAGCCGGATTTTACACTGATTTCTAAAGAACAACAATTCTAAATGTAACCTTAATTGCCTTAAAACTTGCAAGTTCTCCAAGCGGAACGGTCAGCAAAGCGCCGATGCAGAAGCACGAGAGAATAAAAATCGATTGCATCGCTTCAAATAAAATCCAAACACCGACCCGACTAATTCAATAAATCAACATTCAACAAACACCGACCCGACTAATTCAATTCAATAAACTGTTCGGCTGCGGACTGGTTATATTTGCGCGGGATTAAGATCCCGTGTTGCCCATCGCTCGCAAATTATTTCTTTTTGGAGAGCTTGTTGGGCTTTGGTGAAAGGTTTATGCTCGAAAATTGGCCAACGATTTCTGTACATTTTGAATCAATGATCATTGATTCAAAAATCTATGTTTTAACCAAATATGCTTAGGGAATGTTTCTGTTCCCTAAAATGTGTCCTTTTTCAGACTACCGTAAACCTTGTCTCTACTTTACCCAATCTATCTACTTGTCTGTTTCTGCGATGGTTCACGAAGGAAATCAAAAGATATAAAACCAGACAAATTGGATAAAAATAGAGTACAGTAGAAAGAGACACGTTTTCAAATTACTGATCATTGGTTCCAATTTTTTGTTTCAGATGGTGCGAGCCTTTGGAGGAACTGGTGAAAAAAATCTCTAAGAACTTCACGGAATTCTTTGCGCTCATGGATTGGCGCGGCGAGGTGTTACTGGAAAAGCCGGAGAATAAAGTAAGCTTTGAGTAAAATCTTAATTCTAAAATTTTTCTTTTTTAGTTGGACATTGACAAGTACGGCATCGCAATTCATGTGGCGTTCCGGGAAACTGAGCGACTTCGGCGTCTAGATGATAAGGTAAATTTTGAGTGAATTAGTAAAAATGGTGTGATTAAAAATTAGATAAATTCGAGTGCAAAAAGTTCTATTTAGACTCAATCCGGTGGTGAGCGCTCAGTAGCGACGATGCTTTATCTACTCTCGTTGCAAGAACTCTGTCCAGTGCCTTTTCGCTGCGTGGATGAGATTAATCAAGGTGGGTTTGAGTGGTTTAAGGCTCAAAACTGTTCCAAATTTTCAGGAATGGATCCAAGAAACGAGCGCAAAGTCTTCTCGCTGATCGTCGACACACTGGCCAGCGAAAGTCGTAATTTGGCAAAAACACAATATTTCTTGTGAGTTTTTGGGTTGTTTAAAGTTAAGTGAGATCAGGATATGATATATTTCTTTCAGATTGACTCCTAAACTCTTGCGTGGGCTGAAATATGGTGAGAAGGTGGCCGTGCATCTCGTCCACAACAGCCCAACATTGCCACGTGATATCATGGTTGGTTTGAGTTTGATGTTAGTGTTAAAATGAAATAGGATGATGCGGAAATAAGACTTAACTGCAAACCGTAACTTTTTACCAAAACATCATTTTTATCTACATAGCTACAATAGCTATAAGTGTTTTCCTAGCACTTATTTCACGTCTTCATTTTAGGAATGGGAACATTCCGCCTTCATCCCGATCCATGCCCCTACTTCAACGATCAGCAGAATAAGTGATTATTTTTGTTGTTCAATCGTTGCACATTTTGTCTGAAACATTGTTGAAATTTTCCTGATTTGTTTGTTTTTTGATATCATCACATACGAGTTTCGCTAGGGGTTTCTCTCCGGTTTGTTATTTCCTTGAATCGTTTTTGTAAATTTGCATTTGATATCATATAGTTTTTCTAGAATTTTTTATATTTCGTTTGTTGTGGTTTTGATTCGACATTTTGAATTTATTTGTTTCAGATAAATCGGTTTAGTTCAAAATTGGCGTGAAATCCAATGCAAAGCTCAACTTTTATTGAGGGAACCCGTGTGGAAGAAGTTGTACAAATTTAAAAAAAGGAAATTGAGCATAGTGAGGGCTTAAACTTAAACCTTCTTTAGATGACTTCAACCAAAGAAAAAACAGACAGTCGTCTAAAATGACAGTAATCTACTCATTTGCCGAATCCACATCGAATGGCGACTCACGGCCACTTTTCGATACGTTTTATGCCTCCAACGGCCTTTGACCACTCTCGTCCATTGTACGATATTCTGGGTGCAGTATAGGGAAATGAAACAAAAGATCAAGCACAAAAGGATTACGGTAACCGATAGAAGGACAAAGGTGCTTTTTGCAATTCCGCTGATTTGCGTGGAAGTGCGGACTTTTGGAGTGACAATCGTTGATGTTGCTGTCAGAACTGAGCTCTGCTGATAGACATCGACTGACTGCAAACCGGCGTGCAGGGGGAATGAGAGGAGGTGTTGGTGAGAGCGGAGCACTTGACCGAGCAGCCACGACGGAGCGGTGGATCCTGGAAATTTTAGAAAATTTCCTTTCCTTTTGAGACTTTACAATCTTTCCGCTAAAAATTCCCAGATCGAAAGCTGTTCCAGAACTTTGCGGAAGAAGTGAGTGCGCCAGAAAGGGGATGTTTGCAAGCTTTGAGAGCACTGGCGATTGGCTACTGATTCAATGAAAAATTGAGAAAAATCTTCAAGAATCATTGGGAATCAAATCAAGCTGATCAGCTTCTGGATCAGTCCCTTTACTGCAAGGAATTTGTAGGGAAAAGACTTTACCATGTGAGAGAGGTTTGTGTTTTGTTTTTGATCTTTCTCAAATCTCTCAGTACTCTGATGTGCAAGGGCTTGTCGAGAGCGCTCAAGACAAAGATGTGGTGGTGGTCGGTGGATCGGTGGATCGTTGAGTTGAGTAAGAAGCTTTTTGCCTTGATCATAAATCCTTGACATTCTATCACAATATCTCTAGAAACTATCACCTTTAGAAGACAAATTGCCGTGCCGATTCTTCAGCCAAAGCACTAATCTCCGTGCTTTTCTTCTCGCATCCCCAATGACCGATCAGAATTTGCGAGGAGGCGATTGGAAGCGATAAAGCGCAAGAGACGAATGAGGCGCATTCCTGTAATGAGGAAAGTAAATGAGATAAAAAAATTACCATTTAATTACGGTGGTTACATGCATCTTGCTAACAAGTCGACTGGGTAAGCTGGCCAAATGACATAGACCATAGACCTATCAACGCAGAATTACACGCTGAATGCGAAGCTGCTTTCCGTTTTTGCTAAACGACACTCTGCCAAAAGTTATAAGCCTGTAAAGTTTTGTATGGAATTTTAAAAAGCATCCCTCGAGTTATGAAACCCAAGCTATCGACTTTTGGGGACGCTTTTCAAGGTCAAAACTAGAGCCAAAACTTTTGAGCTTCCATTTCGGGCTTCATAAACTTAAATCGGAAAGAAGATTCGGAATCAGCGTGAAATTCTGAGTCGATAGGTCTATGGCTCATGTCATTTGGCCAACTTACCCAGTTGGCCTTCCCTTGTAAATCTAGTAGAAAGATTCAAATCCCAAATCAAAATATGTCAAATAAGCTTGAATTGAAATTTAGAAGATAAGCTTTAAAGGGCGCTTTTCAATTGCTAAAATATGGCCAGAGTTGGGCTAGTGGATAGTGGTCGTGGTTCGTTCTCGCTCTTGTTTTCGGTTTTGTATTTCTTTGTAATGCTTTACAGATTTTTACATTGCTTATTGTGCTGTAAATCGTTTTTAGAACAAAAATGCACGAATTTTGCTTTTATCAGATGTTCGCATTGTGTTCGCAAATTTTTGATTGTTTTGGATGCTTCGTGATTTTATTTCATAGAAATTAACGTCTAAACCGTCACCTTTTGCTTTGTTAGATTGAATAGTTATAAAGTAAAATATTACATTTAAAGAAAAAGAGACAAAAATCCAAGAGCGGGATCGAACCCCATTCCTATTACCGAAAGTCGACACACTATCCACTCGGCCATCGGTGCCTATGTCGCAATCATTGAAAATCGCCCTTTAAAGCTTCAATTCAATTTTCTTTAATTCCTTAAAGCTTCGAAATTTCAATTCAAGCTTATTTGCCAGATTTTGATTTCAGATTCTGAATCTTTATACTCGATTTAGTAAGATGTGTGATTCGGAGACGAAAGCTCACGAGAAAGCAAGAAGTTCGTGCCTTTCCCTAGTCAGTCAACCAGTCCGGAGACGCATGTCTAGTAAACAGTAATTCTCGAAATCGAAACACAAATCAATTAACCCTAACCAGTAATCCGGTAATTACAGTACATTGTCGTACACCAGTGGTCAATAATTACAGTACTTGAGGCTAAAGAACTCAATAAAAATGTAATAAAGAGAAGAATTTGTGAGTCTCAAATTCAGCGGGTTCAGTCATCGAAAAACTAGCCTAATAATTGTCGGCTCATAAACGCCCTGGCACACTGCACGAGGACTAAGATGAAATAAGGATAGACAAGAGAAGTACTAAAGAAGAAAAGATAAACGTAAGTGTCGCTAGCTTTGCCACTGCTGCTGGATGATTAGGCAAGTTGAAATTTGCTCTTTTAATCTACATATTCTTCGAGTTTCATTTCCTGAGACCTTGGACTCATAAAAAGTGCGAACGCACCATTTCGCACCAAGAGCAAAACTCGCCTCTTCAACCATCCAGCCGACTCGCGTTCACTTTCGAGCACTCGTCAAGATTTTGATTTGAACTTTTTAAAAATTCAAGCACTCGTCAAGACCCAATCTGAAACTAATGTTCAAAGTTATTGAAGACCTCAAAATCTATTTGTTTGCTCATGAAAATAGAGAAAATTTCTGTTAAAGTCAATCCGTGTACCTGTCGGAATACTATTAATTCCCAAAATTTCACTTATAGATCAAATATTTTGAAACATTACTCTGCTTGATTTGATCTGCTTTAGTTCCAATTGTATAAAGTTTAATATAGTCTTCTGTCTAACCGTTGTGGAGAATGTGAAAGCTTCAATTGTTGATTGTTTCTTGTATCGCTTGGAATCTCAACGAGAAATCCTGGTTTCAAAAGACCCAAGAGCGACAGTATTTTGCAAGCGTTAGATGTTGATTTCCCTGTTTAGTGCCATGTCTTCATCCACGTGATGTCTTCCATATTGAATGCCCTCGTGAAATCGTAATGAGTTTACTAGTTGGCTATGCTGCGATAAAAACGATTGTCGTTCTGAAAGCCTCAACTTCATCTCTGAGCAAGAGCACGATTCAAGCTCAACAACACTACATTCGAGCACTTATTTTACAAGTGATCTTTTCTTTTTCATTTCAAAATTTACAAGTGATTCTTTAAATGATTTCAAAATTCCAGAGACTTTTCAGGGAAAGATTCTTTTAATTTAAGTATTGAAAAGAGTTGATTTAAACTTTATTTTCAGTGCACTCCGATCCTGTCTGTGTACTTGGTGCCTTTAGCAAGCGCAATTATTTGCAGTCCTCGATTTTTGGGAGTGAAAAGTCCAAGTAGAAATAGTTTCTTTTAAAAAACTCATTCTTTTTCAGTTTTAAAATCGGTGATGGTGGCAATTTTCTCAGAACACTCTACAGTGAATGTGATCGCGATGTGCTGGACAGTCAAACCCTATCGAAATGTGATCGATATCGATATCGATAAATATGCTCAAATATATTATGTCAAAATCGCACTTTGATGCACTTTTTCTATTTTACTCTATAACTCGACTCCCAGTGATCGGATCGACTTACGGTTGGTTTTAAAAGAATCTCCATTAAATTTGGTTATAGAATTTATATTGTATACTCAGGTATAAAAACATTGAGAAAATTCTTGTCATAGTTGAACTACCTACCTGGGAAAGTTGATCAACTTAGATGGTCTATAACTCAAGATATAGAAGCTGAATCAACTTATGGTTGGTTGTGGCTATAAAAAGTAGAAGTTGTTTTGTATACTCTTTAATGGAGACATAGAGAAAAAGGGTCTTGAAAATTAGTGCGCTAAA